ATATATATATATATATATATGGAAGCGCCTGAGGCCGATGGCCTCCCCGACAGGGAAGTGGACTAATGAGAAACACACTCTTGCAGGCACAGTGTTCACACGTGAATTTAATTACCCCGTTTTTTAGGAGTCGCTGCTTTCTGTTATGAATTGGGGTGGGTTTTTTCTTCCAATTAACGTGGCTGTGGCCTTTAATTTATTCTCCTCCCCTGCAAGACTCTAAGGGGTGAGAAATATTCTCTGCAATTTGGCCTGGCGGAGGGATGGCATTAAAGTCAATGCCCTGTGCTCCTCCCCATTTCATTTCTAGCCCTGGCCTTGAGCTGCGGCTTTGCTTTGGGTCTGGTGACTCTGCGGAGTCTCCCGACCTCGTGGGTAACCAAGGCGGGGGCCCAGGACAGTGGCCGGAAAGAAAGGAAGGAAGGAGCCTTGAAGGGCTCCCAGTGAGCCTCGGAACCCACCTCTCTGGTGCGGGCCGGCCTCACAGCTACTGGAGCCATGGGGTCTCTTTGGCTAGGCCTTTTCATTAAGCTGAACTGGCTTTCGGCGGAGGTTGCCTGGCGCTTTCCCCCAGCTTGAGTTGGGGAGCGTGAGAAGGTTTGCAGAGGGGCCTTCCAGGATGGAGCACAGGGCCAGGTTGCCAGCTGCCTCTGCGTGCCCGCGCAGAGATTGTGACTCTCCGTTGACAGCTAGCAAGGCACACTCAGTGTGCGCAGGGGGCTTAGGGCCCCGGCTGAGTGCGGGCACAACCAGGTTCTCAAAACCTTCGTTTTGAAGGTGTCTGACTGCTCCCTCCCTGAACTCCTGTGGGGCCTGACTGGAGGAGCTACGACAAATTTGGGGGCTGGTCGGGCGCTATGAGCGCCAGTCAGACAGATTTAGTGGTCCGCACCAAGGGGTGGTCCTCTTAGGCCAGTCTGTGCCGGGCACACTCGGGCACGGATGGTTGCAGCACTGTGTGGGACGGATCTTGCGTTGAATTTGAGTTTTTGCCGCCGGCTAGGGGCAAACTCGTATCTGCCGGGGACCGCAGGGATTATTTACAGGGAGCTCGCCAACCAAACACAACAGTCTAATTTAACCTTTCCAAGTCCTCGTAAATTTTTACAGCTGGGAGCCACGGCAAGGCAAACGAATCTGTTGGTCGTTCCAGACTTCCCACCAGCCTGTGTGGCTTCTGAAACAATAACTCCTTATGAAATATCATAAATATAGATTTAAATACAGTAGAGCGAGAATGCGATTTGGCTGCTTTTTTATGGCTTTTTTTTTTTTCTAATTTTATGTGAGGGGCTCTACTGGCCGCACTTGCGCGCGGGACCCGCGCCTTCCTGATGGCGTGATTAATTGTGATATAAAATAGTCCGCTTAAGAAGTGTGTGTGTCTGGTGGGGTAGGGGGCAGGGGACACTACAGAGGCAAGGCCAGATTTGATCTTTTAATCTTCGTTGGCCACAATTAAAGCAAACCCGATCGTGCAGCGGTGCTATCCCTTTGCATAAAAACATATGGCTTTTGCTATAAAAATTATGACGGCAAAACACCGGGCCATTAATAGCGTGCGGAGTGATTTACGCGTTATTGTTCTGCCGGGCGGGCACGTGACACGCGTGGCCAATGGGGGCGCGGGCGCCGGCAACTTATTAGGTGACTGTACTTCCCCCCTGGTGCCACCAAGTTGTTACATGAAATCTGCAGTTTCATAATTTCCGCGGGTCGGGCCGGCGGACCGGGCGCGCGGGGCAGGGCGATGGCCACCACTGGGGCGCTGGGCAACTACTACGTGGACTCCTTCCTGCTGGGCGCCGACGCCGCAGATGAGCTGAGCGCCGGCCGCTATGCGCCAGGGGCCCTGGGCCAGCCCCCACGGCAGGCGGCAACGCTGGCCGAGCACCCTGACTTCAGCCCTTGCAGCTTCCAGTCCAAGGCGGCGGTGTTCGGCGCCTCGTGGAACCCGGTGCACGCGGCTGGGGCCAACGCCGTGCCCGCTGCCGTGTACCACCATCACCACCACCACCCCTACGGCCACCCCCAG